GAAGAGTTCTAATTCAGAATATAAGATATATATATTTATTTTAACGAATGTCATCAAGATTGACAATAATAATAATCATTAATAAAACTGTCAATGTGTATGTAACGTGAATCGGTGGCGGACTTCCTGTTGGGTTTAAGGATACAAACAGTCCCCCGGGGCCGCGTCACTCAAATGTTCTGTGGACACTGATGTGAAGACCGACACCAGATGTTTGGCTCTTGTGATGAATGTATTGAGTTTAATGAGTTTTGGAGCATAAACAGTAAACATCAATCAGTAATCAACCACAACTCCCAGAGTTCATAGTGAATACTGGCGTTGCCTTTGGTGGGAGCGCCCTCCTCGCCCTCTGTGTGACTCACTTGTATACTGTTGTCCGTCAGCCTGGCCGTTGCCCACCGCTGCGGGGGCGCTGGAAGCCTCCAGTCCCCTCGCTGTGAGCGCTGCGGTCTCCTTGGCGGGCTCGCCGTCAGTCTGACCTTCTGCGGACGCCTCGGGGACGCTGGAGGACGGGTCCTCCGAGGAGCTGTCCAGCCCGTCTCTGTCCGGGGACAGAGGGCGACAGTGGTCGGGGATGATCTCCTCTGACGGGGGTTCTTCAGAGGAGGCGGAGGCCGGGAACGGGCCCAGCGGGTTCTGCTCGTACACCGGACCCTTGAGCCCCGGGAAGCAGATCACAGCCAGGTACCAGTGAGCTCTGAGGAGAAGGAGAGTTCAGATCAGCTTCAGAGCCAGAGACAAACAGACGGAGTGATCGGTCAAACTGGAGACTCACGACTCGTTGATGGGAACAAAGATGAAGTCCTTCTGGAAGAGATCCACGTGCCGGGTCCACGTCTTCACCCTGTTGTGCTTCCGTTTCTGGATTCTGGAAGAGATGAAAGGATTCAGTACTCAGACTCCAGAATGAGAGCTGACGGTGAACCTGTGCTCAGACTCACGGCAGGTTGGTGGTGTCGGGGACGTTCCTCCGCTCTCGCTGGTTCAGCCTCTTGTAGAAGAAGGAACTGAACACGTGGATTCTTTGTGCGTCTTCTTTTTTCAATTTCTCTAAAACTAAATATCTGATGTGGAGAGAGAAGAGAGAGAGAGGGGCTCATCACACAGAACTTTATATTTGACCATCACGTCTATGAATGAAGGAACACTTACTTTAAATAAAAGTCTATGATAACGTCGTTAAGGAATTCTCCATCATTAAGGCAGTGGAGGTCTTCATTAGTGACTGAGATGCCACCTTTGGCGGGAGGAGGAGGGTAAACCATTAATCTGGAACAAACATTAAACAACTGTTAGGACAATGTTTCTCTCCAGCTGTTTGTTGGTTTGTTTGTGGAGGTTGTTGTTAATGAGTCTTAACCTGAGCCACTTCTTCCCAATAAAAGACTTTGAATCCCTGTGTTTGGCCCCTCACTGCTCCTGTGGATGTATCAGCTTCTAAACTGGGTTTAAACTGTTCTAATATTCAGTATCGGCACGACTGTGGAAACCTTTCAGTCCCCCCGGCGCCAGAGGAGTCACTCACTTGATGATTGGTCCAGAGAAGGTGGGCTGGAGGTCGGTCATGTCCTCCTCGTCTTCTTCAAAGTAGGTGCTGGTCTGCTGGCGAGTGGCCATCCGCGTGCGGACGGGCACCGAGACCGGGCTCACCGGACTAACCTGCGTGACCTTGGAAACCGGGGAGACGTGGGAGATTTTGGGAGGGGTTTGTATTGGCTTCTCCTTCAGGGAGGGAGGGAGGTGTGAGGAAGAAAACAAAAACTAATGTTTAGATATAAACTGTCACAACTTAACAAATACCTTTCCCACCAAAATTTCCACCATATTCCAGATAAAAATCACCAAATTCCGAAGCTGCTGTTTGTGTCAGTTAAATAAAAACTCACTGTGTTGTAACTGTGTCACACATTGACTGTTTACCATCCACTGTTTACATCTTGGTGCTTTTTAACTCTAGATTTGAACCGGAACACACCACAGAACCACAACACACACACACACAAAAAAAAAAAACCACAACCCAGGGGACCACACAGGAACACAGACCAGACACAACACACACACCACACACCCACACACACACACAACACACCAGAGACACACAGGAGACACACACCACGCACACCACACACACCACACAGGAGACAACAAGACACACCACACACACCACACAGACACACACAGACACAGGACACAGACACCAACACACACACACACCACAAAAGACAACACTCACCACACACACACAAGACACACACACAAACGAACACACACACACACACACACCACAGAGACACCCACACACACACACACACACACACCCAGAGGTAAACGAGTTTGTTAATTGGGATCTGACGATACAAGTTTTTCATTCATGCTGAGCTTTTCAGTACGAAATTCGTTCTCAGCTACATGTACAATCAACAACAACATTACAAAACAATTAATAATATATTATATTAATAAATTAATAATAATATATTATTATTATTTATATAATATAATAATAAATGTTATATGTACTAATATATAACTAGATTTAGGGGATAATATTTATATACAACAATTAATGAACAACAACAACAACATACATTAACATATACCCATGTAAGCTCCGTTTATCACCTGTGCTGCTCTTTAACTCCGGAATTTGAACCAGTATGAAGGTTCATGTTTAAATTCTGTTAGTTCTGGACGTGAGAGGATCCATACTTATTGATTTAGATTATATTATCAGTGTGGGAAACGTATCAAATAAATGTGCAGAAATGATGTTTCCACAGAGGGCAGATACAAGTTATGAGCCCTCCTGCCCCCCTGCCCCAACTGCCCGCTGCCCCTAAGAGCCCAAGGGCCAGTAAACCTTCATTAACCCTTCAGTCTGCTGTTTATTTTATTCTTGATATAAATGTAAACAACACAGTAAGTCAGCAGTCACAGATCACGTGAGGGAAGACAGCGGGAAACACACGAGCAGGCTGACCGAGCAGCCCTCCGAACAGCATCCGAGCAGCTCCGAAGCACACCGAGCAGCTACCGAGCAGCTAGGATACAGCAGAGACAGAGCAGCTCGAACATCTGTTTAACTGTATATTAACATGAATGCTACATAGCTCAGGCTATCAGAGCCAGCCAGTGTCAACCAGCATGTTTATGTGTTTATGTAAATGATGTTTGTGTGTTTATTATTAATGTTTTTAATTTAATTGTTTATTAACAGTGTTAGTGACCACCTAATGTGAATGTTATTAACATGTAATTATGTGTGTGTATTAAACAGTGTTAGTGTGTGTTAATGTGCTGTATGAGACGTATATCGGAGCGGCTAACAGCAGAGGGAAGGAAGGCCTCTTCCGAAGCTAACGCAAGAGCTAACGATGCTAACTGAAGGAGATCCACTTTAAAACAGACCGAACCGGAACGTCGAAACCGGCCCCCCCACGCGGGTCTACTAACCCCCCTCACCGCCGGGTCTCCGTCCCGCACCGGGTCTCAGTCACGCGGGTCCTCACCTCAGGCCCAGATATGGTTGGTCTTGGTACCGGCCTTGGTTCGACCCCTCTCCGGGGCTAGCTGCCAGCCCCGCAGACAGCCTGAACGTCCTGAGCTAACGTTAGCTCATAATGTCTGCGGGGACAAGCGGGCCGAGAACCGGGGCCGAACCGAGGGCCGCTGTGTGCGGGG